GGTTGTGCCACGGGCAGAAGGCTTTGCCCTCCCCCCCCCCCCCCCAGTGGAAAGATCCTTTTGAGATGTCTAACTTCTCTTTTCCTCTCTCTAAACAGACGGTTGATGATGAGGCGATGGCAGCATAAATGAAGATCAAGTAAGGAAGGCAGAACGATGCCCAAGGGTGGGTGTTCTAAAACACCACAGCCAGAAGATTTCTCTCTCAGCAACGACATGGTGGAGAAACAAACGGGGAAAAAGGTAGCGTGTTTGGTTCACTTGCCTTCCTTTAGGGATGCTGCCCCTTACTGCCACGGCTTGAAGACATCAGGCATATTTCATGTGGCGGGAGGTTGCCGTGGGCTGTTATCACCTGAATCAAATCTCTGTATTGGCACTCTGCCAGCTGGTGGGGTCGACTTTATTTCTCGGTGGCTGCAGTACTTCCCGGGAAGTGCCGTGGCCGCATAGACCTGACTCGGCCGAGCAACGGGGGGATGCTTTGGAAGATTCTCTTCTGCAAGTACTGTGCATTTTTAAGGCGTTCTGCAGAAAGCTGTGGAAGGACCAAGTAATGCAGTGATCTCCCAAGTGCGTGCTGTGCGAGGGAGGAGTTTCTCCTCCTCCTCCTCTGGCTGTAAATGCTGTGTCTGTGTCAGACTCAGCTGGTCTTGCTTCACGCAGAAGTCTGGGCTCTGAGTGTGGCCTGACCAGGACTCAGCGTGTGAAGTGCTCTGCTGAAATTACTGCTTCTGGGGTTTTATTTGAAGTGTTTAGGTTTTGACTGGGCTTGAGGTGGGGTTACTGAGATGAAATCTGAGTTTAAGGATAAATAAGTTCATACTTCTCCTCTTCATTCCCAGATTCTCGTTTTGCTCCAGACTTAAGCTCTGCCTCCTCTCATTCAGCTTTTTTTCATCCTTCTCAGTATCGGTAGTTTCCAGTAAATAGTTGTGCAGAAAGCTGTGTACAAATGTTACCTTTAAATAAAAATTAAAACCTACGTCTACTGTATTCTGCTATGGAAACACATACCATCCGCTTTCCTTTCACCTCCTTGCTCCAGTTCCTCGGCATTCCCCCAGGAGTTTCTGCCAGGCCCCGGGAGCTGAAGCTGAGCTTCGCGAGCACCCGCGATGCCGCGTCGCTTGCTCTGTCACTTCCCCTGCAATCCCACCGTGTTGATGATAGTAACTCCTCTTATGATTGAGGTCGTATTATTGACAAAACGAGGAAAACGACAAGTAACTAACGGGAAAACCCCAGGCAGAAATGTGGTTATCGAGCGCACTGGTAGCATCTGCCCCGTTCTCCTTTCTGCGTCGCAGTGCGTGCACAGGTCCGGTTCAGGAGCCGTGCTGAGAGCAGGAGCATTGCTCCTGCGTGGGCACTTTGCTGGGGCACGGCGTGGGGCTTGTAGGAGCAGGGCAAGAACTGGGAGCAGGGGTGTTGGAGGTGAAACAGCTGCCCTGTTGCATCAGGAAAATACCAGCATTTACCCTGGCAAATGAGGCTGAGCCCGGCAGCGCAGGATATGCAAATACGGGGTTTTGTCTGTGCTGTGTAAGAAGCTTAATGTTGGCGCAGGTGCTTCGGGAGGGAGAGGATCAGTTATAATATGAATCAGCTCCCATTTTATTTCATCCACTCGCGGCAGCTTAAAGGCTGCATGTTATTTACAGAGCAGGTTTGTTGAGCGGCGCTAGGGACGCCGGGAACTGGAGTTATCTCCCGCTGGCTAAATAACTAGGACACAAATAATTTTATGCTTCCCATTCAGAGGTGTCAGCGCAGACCTGCAGAGAGTGGTATTGTGTAAGGACGGGGAAGAGCCTTTCTACTCACTTAATTCTGGTCTTCTCAATGGAGAAGAAACTTGCAGGCTCTTGTCCTCCAGGAACTGAGCTAAGATCCAGCCTAAGTGGCCAAAGGACATCGTGCAGCAAATCGCCCCGTTTCTAGTTAACTCTGGAGCGTGAGCTGGAGCAGTGACTCAGGGTAAAAGCACTCAGTTGTTAGACCTCCTCCTTCCAGACGCTGTTGTACCTGCCTGTCAAGCAAGCCGCTGCTTTTAATTTATCTCGCCTTTGTCAACACTTTCAAAGGCCCGAGCCTGCGACTTGGCGCACGCTTGCTGGCAGAGTCTCGCTGGGGAGCGCAGAGAGCGGCTGCGGCAGAGCCCGAGCCGTGCCGCACGGAGGGACCTGCGCCCACCGGGGCCGCCTGCGACGGTGTACAGGGCGAGCACGGTGAAGCAATAGCTGCGTTGCCACTTAAGTGTTTTCCTCTCAATGTGACCTTAATATCGACGGTTGTTTTAACGTTAAAAAGGCTTTACATGTTTGGGCTCTGAAGCTCTAGCGCTGAAGGCGAGTAACGGTGCAGGATGCTCAGCAGTCCGGGTGTCGCAGTGGGCTGAGCGCTGCAGGAAACGTGCGAGTTCTGCGCTTGAACACGTTACAGCCAGGCTCTCTGGGAGGCTGCCCTTTCTGCAGAGGGCTCGTGCTTTGTGGAAGAGGATGTGAGCTGCTGCCTCTTAGTTGTAGAGCTAATTATAAGAGGGAACTCCTCCTAGCTCTCTGCTCCGTGCCCTTCCATGGGAGGGACCTATTCACTAGCGAGGTGTCGCTTGTGCTGGCGCAGCCACGAGAGCCAAGTGGTTTAAAGACCGTGTCTCTGTTGCCCTCCGTGGCCGGCAGCATTAGATGCTTCATCTGCTTTGCTGTTGTTGAGCGAGGAGCTGTTTCTCCTGGGGTTCACGGAGGCAGCGGGGCGGCCAGTCGGGCCCTGCCAGCCTTATATGGCTGCGTGCAGCCTGCCCGGGGCGGGCGCTCGGCGGCCCTGGGGGCTCCTTCTGGTTGAGTTCAGTCTGAAGGGTTTCGTAAAAATATGCATGCCATATATGAATAATTCTCCTTTCTGGTTTAGATCCACAGATCCCCATACCAGAAGCAGATTACTCATGACTTAGGCTGAGCAGAACACCGCAGCAAGAATTATATCAGTTGTCGAAACCATTTCCTGATGTGCCTGGGACCGCTTGCTGCGTGGTTACACCGTGTGCTCAGAGGCTGCGGCACAGGATTTGTCTCTTTATGGGGAAATGCTCCCACTTGCATAGTCTGAACTGCATTTTTGCTGCAGTGGTTGAACACCGAGCAGAACAGCACTTGACCCCCGGTTTTGGCTTGTAGGAGCTAGCAGAGGTTAACTGAGCAAACCGGGCAGAGACGACGTTAGGAAAACTGCTGAAGGTGCTGCCTCTTCTCACCCTTTCCCGGGTGATAGGGGTGGTGGTTTCTCAGTGAGGGAGCCTTGCTGGGGGACACGGTACCTTGCTGATACCCATACTGGATCAAACTCAGTTGGCTTCCACAGGAGCGAAGGGGGAAAACTACTACACTTTTTATCCATAATAATTTTAGTAGTATGAATACATTTTGCTCCTATTTGATTATTTTTCCTGCCCTTCAAAAAAGTTTTTGCTTTTTCTCCTCCCTCTTCTCCCAGTTTCAGAAAAGGGAACATACTCCTCATTTCTCGATTCTTCTTGAAACCTCCTGGACTGTTAGGGCTTTCCTGCGCCATACGAACGAGTGCCGGGCTGTGCGTCCAGCGCAGAGCCACCCGCCGGGGTGTGAAATATGCAGAAGCACTGGGTGACTTAGATACTGAAGAGCCAATGTTTCAGTGAAGATAGTCATAGTCATTGCAGGGTAGCATTTCTTACAAACCTCAATGAAGGCCCGAGGCACACAGGAATGGGGCTTCAGTTCCAGTTGTCTCCATAATGCTGAGTTGCAGCATTGATCGTGACCCAAATTCAGAGTTTTTGAAACTTTGCACGCGTGTGTATGTGCTGTACTCTGGTTTTGGAAAGGCCACAAGGGACGCGGATTTAGGGGATGCCGGGGTTTGGTTTCCACCACGTCCAATGCGCTGTAAAATTGTGTCCATCCCTTTTTGTAACGTAGGGTGCGAACCCTTCTCCTGCCCCTTCTCTCCCCCCCCCCGGCAGAGACCTGTTCAGGAAACGACACACTGCTGTCGGCGTTAGTGCAGGGAAACTCCCACTCTTTCAGCATTTGCTTTTTGCAGCATGGGTTGTTTTGCCCACAGCAGGAGTTTGGTGTGTCAGCTTGGCGTGGGGCATCGCCCAGGGGCACGGGTGTTGGAGCCCTTGGTCCCTCTGGGCTTCTCTCCTCCCGGGTTACCAGCGCTGGTTCTGTTCGTTGCCACTTGTTTTTTACTAGCATTGCAACCTGAAATACTTTCAACTCATTTTAGAGAACAAAGGGCTTTGGGGATTTCCGTCGCTGGTAATGCAAGTCTTTGCATAAGCGGCTGGGATGTGAGTCAGGTTTTGTCGGTGTTGAAGCAAAGGCATGGCTCCGGCGCAGCTCTCAGCGGGCGGGCAGGCGGGCAGAGGCAGTGGTTCAGAGTTTGTGTGTGGGCACTGATTAGCACAGCCCTGCTGCGTGCAGCTCGTACGGACAGAGGGGAGGAGCAGGCTGCAGATGCACGGCCCGTCCTGTAAAGCAAGCTAGAGACGCACTCAGGTTCTCTGCTGGAAATACAGATTCCTTCACATGGGTTTGTATGTGGCTCTACCTTGCAGAATTTTGCATCTAAAAGAACTACATGTTTGGTTTTGCTCTGAGAACCTACATTTGGACAACCTACAAGCTGGCCTAGCTGGAGTTCTGCGTGAGGGTGAAAAGCGGCTTTTATTTGAATATGTCATAGAGTCATAGAATCGTTTAGGTTGGAAAAGACCTTTAAGATCGTCTAGTCCAACCGTTAACCTAGCACTGCCAAGTCCACCACTAAACCATGTCCCTGAGCACCACGTCTACACGTCTTTTAAACACCTCCAGGGATGGTGACTCTGCCACTTCCCTGGGCAGCCTGTTCCAGCGCTTGACAACCCTTTCGGTGAAGAAATTTTTCCTCATGTCCAATCTAAACCTCCCCTGGCGCAACTTGAGGCCGTTTCCTCTTTTCCTATCGCTTGTTACTTGTCATTAATGGCCTGAGCAGATTGATATCAGGGTCTCTTGGATTAGAGGTCTTTGTCGTAAAGAGAAGTCGGCACAGATGCAGCTAAGCACTTCCAGTCCATATGCTGCATGTGTGGCTTATATCATCATAGCTTCTGGGCGCCAGTTCGTGATCGGTTTGTGCTCAAAACCATGACAGCTGATAGCAGCTTGTGATGCATCTTTTAACTATAGCAAGTGTAAGTCGAGGTGGGTTCAGTTATTCATATAGTAAATCTTACTAATAACACAGTGTGACGGTAGGGGATTTTTCCTGAAGTCATGGTCTGCCGTCTGCCCTTTGCCAAAGCAACTTTTAGTAACACCTACAAAGGGGAACTTGTTTCTGTTGCTGAGCTCTCGACAGTACCCCCATTCCCCAAACTCCCTCTCTTACCCTCAGCGAGAGCTTTCCCGGCCTTCGAGAGCCCCAAGCCCGTGCTACACACAGATGTTCATACAAGTTTCTCTGCAGCGTCGATTAATTTGGATTTGTTCCTTTTGTGAAACCTGATTCTTTTACCTTTCAGATGAGTCTGAGCTTGCTTTAAACATGAGATGACCTAAAAATGAAAACAACTTTTACTCGAGAAAACGATGACATTCTTCATTACAAAATTGGAAATAATTAGGGAAGTAAAGCTTAAAATAAGAAAATGAAAACGCGTGTTATTTTCAGGAATATGACTCTCCAAGCTGCCTTAATTTCTCTGCAGTGGTTTCACTGCAACTGCTGCAGGCATCCTCAGCAGGTCACTGCTTTCCAGGGGGGAGCAAAGTTTGGATCTTCCTTGCTCCAATTAGTATAAAAGGTTATCGTTCTGCTACTGTACAAATTAATCTTCAAAGCAGTGCCAGGACTGCTGCCGCTTCCTTCGTTCCTTGGTATTTAATTTTGCTGAACTTACTGGATTAGCAGCTCCCAGCATTAGGGCAAATGCAAACGAAGCGTTGCCCGAGCGTGCCCGACGCTGGGATTCACACGGCCATTTCCATTTCCATGCTGGGCTCACCGTCTTGTCTGGGAAGGTTTTTTGCCTAATTCCTCTCTTCTTTGTCTCTCCTCCAACATGGAGCTTTTAACAACGTTGCAATAACTTTGTAGAATAAGTTGCATTTTTACCTGTCCTGCACTGCTTCACATTCCTGAGGGTGCAGAGAATACGGCAGATGACTGACCCGGCTTGCAGGCACCGCAGCCCCCCTGCACCTGCGGGTTCGGGCTTTCTCACCACAGCAGCCAAGTCCAAAGATTAAGGGAATTTTAGAGGAGGTATGTTTTAAACAAGCTGTCACCAATCGTCGTTTGCTTTTAAGTGGGGTGCAAGAGCAGCGGCGCTGCCAGCTGATGCCCGGAGCTGGGTTGCCTGTGAGGCAGAGTGCTTTTCGGGCAGCAGAGGACATGACATGATGGATTTGCTCCAGCTGAAATCTATTTTAAGGTAACAAACAATGAAAAAATTGTATTTTTTGTGTTGAGCACCATTGACCTCTTGTTGGAGCTCTCAACGTGAAACTGGTGTCTGGAAGAAGTGCTGGGAGTGTAGGAAATCCCACCGCGGGGTGCCGGGGGCTCAGCCGCATCCTGCCCTACTGCTGCGAGAACAGGCAAAGAGTATCCTAGTACTGAAATACTGAGTGGAAGAGCCTGCTCAAAGGGTCTGGGCGAGCAAATAGCAGTACAGCGAGCACGGCGGCTGATGCAAGGAAGTGTCATTTTCGAAGCGTCAGCTGTGACTGATCCACCTCGGAGTCTTCTAGAAGGACCTCTCTTACCGAGGACTGCCACCACTCGCTGCTGGCAAACCTGAGCCGCAGGTGTTGGGCGTGAGGGGTGCAAAATGCACTTTCAGAGCAGGAAGAGGTGCCGGGTTTCACCGGCGCTTTGCGCCCGATCCCGCAGCTCCCCGATGGTGGAGCAGCTCGGATGCAATGTGTGCAGGTGTGCCCTTAGGCGTGGGCGGCAGAGGAAGAGACATGCACGTGATCTTCTCTGGTTTTATGCTCTTGTCCCAGGCTCTGACTTTTAAGGGTAAAAATTGTTGGGCTGATTGTTGTCTTGAAGTGCAGTTGGAGTTTTTGAGGGGAACGCTGGGGTCACGTCTCTGCAGTCGTTATACCCGGGGAAGACGGTGCTTTACCCCGCATCAGCACGGCCTCTCGGACACTCAGCACTGATGCAGGGTTAGTGGGGTTTGAGCGTAGCGTTGCTGTTCGAGCTTGCGTTAAACTGGGGAGGGAAAGGACGGACCAGTGTACCTGCTTGCAACAAGACAGTCCCGGGAGACGATCGGTGGTCCCTGGCCTTCCTTACACCTCTGAGCTGTTCAGAACAGCAGCTGGCAATGGAAGTGGCATCATTTGTTATTGCAAACTATTTCTGTTCACGTCAGAAAAAATAAGGCAAAAGCATTTAAATCCAGAGTGTTTAAATGAAATGCTGGAGTGTTTATTTTGGCTGTTGTGACTTTGTCTCATTGCTCCGCTGACTCCTGCGCCGAGGAAGGGCTCTCAGCGGCTGCTCTCGAGCCCGGTTGCCCTTCTTTGGGCTCCAAATGTGAAGTCCTCTGTGCCCGCAGCCGAACGTGCCTTGGCTTCCTCCAACCACAAGAGCCACTGTCAGATAGGTTTGTTTAGCTTGCTTTACCAAAAAAAGGGATTCCCAACCCATTTTTTCAGGCCTCAGCGCTGCACTGGAGCGTGGGTGAGAGGGGCCGAGTTTCGGGCGTGCAGCCGCCGGGCTGTCACGCTGCCCATCGCGAAGGGGGCATGCAAACAAAACCCGTTGGTCCGAGTAAACGGTTTCTCTTTAATCTGCGGGTGCAGTCTGGTTGCCAGACAGAACTCGGAAAGAGGAAGGAGCAGTGTACACAGTGACGACACGGTCTTGTGACTGCTGGCACAGGAGCCACCTGCCAGGGTGCTGAGTCTGATGCAGACAGCATGACTGGGCTTCTCTAAACAAGGGAATTTCTGTTAGATTTGCTTGTCTGAGTTTCCAGCGATGGTCGTGCATGATTTAATGTATTGAGATTCTTTTATTTAATCTAACTTTATATCTAAAGCTTAGGGTCTGGGTTTTGCTAGGTTATTGAAATCAGATCTATCACAAAGCTGCTCGTTCTGGCCTTGTTTTTAGAGCAGTGGCACAGTGTTCAAACCAGAAGCCCTTGCTTAAAATAATAGTGTGTCTCAAATACAAAAAACACAAGTGCGTGACTTCAGTCTGTATATATTCTCAGCATGCTAGGCTCCTGAAGCTTGAGTTATGTACCAGCTCTCGCTGTTCATGTGAAAAATCTTGCCCGTCTCAATACTTGGTAACTTTGTCTTGCTCGGGATGTTTCTTCAAGATTTCTTCCTGCTGCTCATACCGAGCAGTCCCCAGCATCGCCTGCTTCACCTCGCTGCACGTTAAAATCCAGACCAACGCGAATAAACGAGACTGGTACAAAGCAGGCATAGGTCTGCCTCTCTGAGACAGCAGGGAACGCTCAGCCAGCATCTGCATCGCTTTCCATGCTTTTATGCCGTATTGGCAGGTTTGTTCTCAAGGTAGCTTCTCCTCTTAAAATCCCAGTAGAAACCTGCATGGGAGAGGGGCATGTTCAGTGTTCAACCACTGGGAACGCCTCGGCTGGTGTTTGCACATAGCTGGGACTTAAAGTTGATCAACCCCAAAACACAGATCTGGGGGAGAGCGAGCTTGGCTGGGGCTGGGGCTGCCGGAACTGCTGCTTCGCTGCTGGACCCTTTGCCCTGCGATGGAGGCAATTGCGGGAGCGCAGGCGGAGCTGGGAGCAGATGGAGCTTCCTGCTCTCGGATGGAGAGTGTTGCCTATGGATATAGGCAGAGCTGTACTGGCCTTTCTGGTGGAAATCGTTACGCTGACTGTACAATGCAGGCCTTCTAAGTGCATTTGGCTGCGGTGCTGATCCTGTAAGCGGTCAGTAATGTTAGCAGACTTATTGGCTGCCAGAATATTCTCCAGAATAACATGTTATCACGTAAGCTCAAATAGTAATGCTGTATTCTTGTGGTAGAAATACCGCGGGCCCCAAGGAGAAGCCCTCAGCTCTCCACGTTGAACCAAGGGCTTTAACGCTGGTTTTTGTGTGTCCCCCAGGCATGCTGTGTGCGCTCCCCTGCATCCCACTTCTGCTCAGGATTGGGAAACCCTTCCCAAACGCCGGGGGCGGTTGTGTTTGGAAATCCTTGGGTTCTCCCACCCCAGCCTGGCTTCCCCCTGTGCTCGCAGCCGGGCACATCCCCAGCCACACACAAGGCGTTGGCTCTGGTTTTCACGTGAATTGGTTGCAGCTTTCGCACCATGCAGCAGCCTTGGTTGCCCTCACCCTTCTTTAGTGATATTTTAGCATTTTAGCTTGGCGGAGGCTCCTTTCTGCAAGATGCTAAACCCTGACACTGGAAACCCACGGTAGAAAGGAGAGGACAAGCGCTGCGTGAGGCTGGTGCAGGATGTTGTGGGGTTAAGTGGGCACAGTCTGGGGAAGGCTCTTGTTAATCTGGTCTCTTCTCTTTCTAGGATAAAGATAAAGTTTCTCTAACCAAGACTCCAAAGTTGGACCGGAGCGATGGCGGCAAAGAGGTGAAAGAGCGAGCGACCAAACGGAAGTTGCCTTTCACTGTTGGAACAAATGGAGATCAAAAAGACTCGGATACAGGTACAGAAATGACATATTCCACCCTCAAAACGTGAGTGTTGGGGTGGTGGGGAGCGCACACATATTGTCCAATATGCAAGCAATCCATACCGAAGCGTTCTACCAAATTTCCTGTATTTTTTAATTGAAGGAAGAGGCATGTGGACAAGAGGATAACTACTGTGGTATGCACGTACACATCTGGAGCTGAGTGGATGAAGGCCCTTATGTTCTTAGTAATATATTTAACTGGACCAAGAGATGGCTCTGTGAGGAGGCACCCCTTCCTTTGGCTGGTGGTCCCTTCTTCTCTGTTTCTAACTAGTCCAGTTCAGGAACTGCAGCTTAGACAAGCCGAGAAGCAGTGCTGGGCCTGCTAGAAAGAACTTGGAAAATAAGAGAATAAAGCTGAGTACTCTTTAAAAAAGACAAACAACAAGCAGTAAAAAAATGAGCTTGCGTGCATCTGCCTAAAGTAAACCTGATATATATATATGTGTATGTAGATACATACATATACCTCTCTAGCCATGTTTTGTTGGTTTGGGGCTTTAAACTTTTAGCACTTCACTATCTTAAAGCTGAAAAATTATTTCCAGCTGGTGTGTGCACAGGCGTTGTCAAACACATGTAAAACTGTCTGAAGGTTATACTGACGGGCTGGAGGTGTGACTTCGGTGATGTGGCCGTCTGGGCCTGTTTGGGTGTTTAGGTCGGCTCTCTGGGTTTGGTGCGGGTGGTTCTCAGGACCGTAAGGACATTAAGGTGCCCTCTTTGCCCCTGTTCTTGGGACCGCCAAGGTTCCTTCGGCGATTGCAGCATGACTGAGCAATGCGTCCTCAATACGCGCCTGGTTTCTGGGAAGCGTCGGTGCTGCTGTGGGTATTTCAGCCTGGCTGTGTCGTGGTTGGGCAGGTCACATCTCGTGGCAGAAGAGTGGCTGGTACACGTGGCTCTCGCGCGCCGTGGCCCTACATAGCTACAGAGGCGTTGAATAGGCTGTTTGTTTTGTAAAGCAACGTTGCAAAGCTTTGACATGGAGAAAATAATGCTATTTGGTTGCAAGGGGCTTAGCTGTGGCTTTATGGGCAGAGGTTTGCATAGGTCCATTCTATACATTTCTAGGAAATCGGCACTTGGAAATGGTTCTGCTCAGGTAAGGATCACAAATTGTGCAAAGAGATAAAGCGGACTAAAAGTTGGGAATATGCTTAAAAATGGTAAAAAAGATGTATTTGCTGTTACTCTCGGGTGAGCGTGTGAGGTGGCCTGATGCAGGACGCAGTGCGTCAGCCTACGTGAGCTGTCGGCCGGTCTCCTCTGGTTCAGAAGTTGGAAGGGCAGATTTTGAAAAGTCATGAGTGCCGCCTGGGTCACGCAGCCACCGCGGCGGTGGAGGCTGTTTCTCAGGCGAGGACACGCAGTGGCATGTCCTGGGGCTGGCCCGGCGTTTCTGTGGGTTTCTGTGTGCCGAATAGTAATTTTCTCAGTTGCTGAACTCCCCGTCCGGAGAGAAAGTTTCAAAACACTAATTCATTTTGTTAAACGACAGCTCATACTGGTGGCCGTTTGCGGGGATGAAGTGTCGTTTTTGCGTTCGTGGCGTGCAGGTGGGCGAGTGCATCGCTGAATGAATAGATTAGGGTTTGCAGCTGTGGGAGAAGGGGTGACCCCCGGCCGTCGGGGAGCAGATGGGGTTACAGCCCGACACAGGTGATCTTCACTCGCTTTCCAAACAGGCGGCGTGGGGAGGGCTTTGGCACCATTTGTGGTGCTGTAGTGGCTCACTAGGAATAAATTTGGGGTGTCACCTTTGGAGGGGGGGTGTCACCTTTGGAGGGAGGGTGGCTGGGGCAAGGCAGAGCTGATTAGCCAGAACCATAGCTGCTGCTTTTTGTCAAGGGTGTTTCTGCCGCGTTCAATACTTGGTTTAGAATTTAAACCCAAACTCGCTTCAGGGTTGTCTGACCCTCGTGACAGCTAAAATGTCATGGTAGGGCTCCCAGCTCGCTTTCCGTGTCCTCCAGCAGCAGTTATCTGCTTCTCACAGGGCTCTGGTCTCTCTCTGGCTGTAGAGACGTTAGAAATGTTTCTGCTGGCGGCATCGAGCAGGAAACCAAATTAAAAAGAGAGCAGCAGGGTAGGGAGAGCAGAGCGCTGCTGGGGGAGAGGCTGTGGCTGCTGCAGGGTGCAGAGGAGCAGCAGCGCAGCCCGTGAGACACCCCTGCCCATCGGCTCCCACGTTACCCCTCTGCTTTCAGCAGGCGTATGACTCTATCTTCGGACACGTCTTCCCCTTCCTCTTCAGAGCTCATCCTTCCTGGGGAAGCGGGCGCGCAAGCGGCAGGGCCGAGCCAAGGGGCGGCCGGCAGCCCAGCTCCCTGCCTGCACGCAGGACAGCCGGAGACCCGGAGGTGGTCATTGCGCTCAGAGACGCCTTTAAAGACAAACTGGGCTTGACAAACGCTGCAGAGGTGTAGGCGAGTCTCTAGCAACCTGTTTGGTGGAGACTGAGGAGAGGAAGTGACTCAGCCGCTGGGGAGGAGATAGCAGCAGGGAGCTGCAGATCAACGCGCAGAGAGGCAGACCGATACTTAGCAGGAGCCTGTTTCTCTTCTCCGAGGCCTTCTACTCCAGGAATCAAATGTTTGAGATGGGAAAAGACTTCCTGGCACCTTGCTCCCCTCTTGCACCACCCCGTTGCAACCGTGGGGCGTTTCAGGCCCTTCTGTTCCTTGGCCAGGCTCGAGGCCGGCTTTCGTTTAGCAGGTAGAGGCCTGTTTGTAGGTGCACAAAAAGTTGCCCACGTCATATGGGGACGGAGGGGTGCCCCCGAGCCTGTGCGCGTGTAATGAGAGTGGCACTCCTCTTAACGGCACACATCTGGCAGCGCACGCTCAAGCGTGCGTGGCTTGCAGGCTGCCGGAGGACAGGCTTTTGTCTCGAACAAAGGGGCTGCAGCACACCCACCCCGCAGCCCCCTCTATCTCCCTGCTGCCCGGGCAGAAACGCCGCTTGCCCGCATCCCCGGAGGAAAGGGAGGCTGCTTTTTCTTGTTCTGTTCCTAAGCTTTGATTTCAGCTCCTGTGAGAAGTGGGATTGCAACATTGGTGTTCACCGTGCCAGTTGCGGAGTTGACCTTAGATGATTTATGTAACGCCGTCGTGCTTCCTGGGCTGCTGTACACAGGCTGTCGTGTTTGTTTGCGGGTAGTTTTGCTAGGGTATTCCACAGCCACGTGGAATTTAGCTGTAAGGATGTGGGAGCTGGGAGCTAGGAGAGCTCTCTTTTTGCCTGTAGCGGGATATTTTTTTCCTCTAAAACTTAAACAATAACACGAATCCTTGTCCTGATTTGTTGCAGCGGCTCATATTCCTTAGTAGCACAACCTATCTGTTGCCTTTTTTCCCCGAACGGCTCTGGCTCAGCTTTGACGTATGCACACTGTACGTGGTGCAAGAAAGCATCGGTGATGGGTTTGCCTCGCCGTCGAAGGGCGGCGAAGCCCACCCTGGCTGGGTGTTCGGCAGCAGCCAGGTGCTGCAGCGCGGTTGCCTGTTGGAGCCTTCCTGTGTTTGCAAGACGTGGTGCGAGCAGAGGGTGTGGGCTGTTGGTGTGCCAGCCTGCGCCGGGACAGCCGGTGAGAGCCCACGTGCGTTATTGCCTCTGTTTGCCTCCTCGGTGCGCAGGTGGCACCGCCACCTCGCCGGCAGGTTGCAAATACTAACCCACGTCTCCTGTGTGCTCACAGCGCTTACCCTGAGCACCGGTGCCTCCCTGGATGGCTTTTCCATTTGCACCCAGGTGTTCCCAGGGGAGGTGTGTGTTTGGGGGCAGAGGTCTGCCCCGGTCCTTTGCTCATGCTGGAGTGGGGCAGCTCACCTGCCCTTCCTTTAACCCTGCTCTTGCAGCTCACTCCTTGAGTTGCTTTATGAGCGTGCGCTGCTGGCAGAGTGCTGATGTGTTCAGGAAGCGAGCAAGTAAGCGATTTCGTTCTTGATCTGTTTTTATTTGCAGCACCCGCCTCCAGCGCAGCGTGCCTTTACTGCGCCCTGATCCTGAGCAAGCGCTCCCAGCGCCGCTCGGGGTTTGTTCCCGTACGGAGATGGGCTTGGCACAGGCTGCGGGAGGTGCTGCTGGCCAGCACTGTTTTAAAATGTATGGTTTGGGTACAGTGGGTTCAGTGCTAATCCTTCAAAATGGTTTCTAGAGCAACAATTCTGGCTCTCGGGTTCCTCAGAGTTAACTAAATAAACTGTCTTTAGGGGGGGGAAAAATTGCATAAAGCTGTGAGCCTCCAGACTGTGCATGTTACAGATCCAGCACTGCGGGAGCAGCAGCTCTCTGCCTGAGACTTCTCCTCCTTCCTTCTCCTTTCACTCGTGCAGCATCTCCCCACATCCACAGACCTTGCCGAGAGCCTATGTGCTGCCTGGCAGCCGCCGAACGAGTAAAGCCAGCTTTTTTCCCTAGCGATTTCAGCAGCTTGTGAGGCTTCGTGCAGCTCCTCGTTTGCGCGCTGTGCTTAAAGGAGGTTAGGCATTTAAAAAAAGAAATATTACAAAATTGTAATATTAAGAAGCACGCAGAGGAGCGTCCTGCGGAGACGGCGGGGAGAAGGGGACAGTCCTGCCGGGAAGCCACCTGCGGGGAGGTGGCAGGAGAGGTGGGCACGGGCGGCTGGCGCAGAGCGGGTCGCAGCGGCGCTCCTCCCGGTGCTGGTGCCTGCCCCGCCGAGCCGTGGCTGAGTCATGGGCTGACTCAACGGCACCAGACTGCCGGCACGGGGCCGGGCGCTCCCCGCCTCCCGCGCAGGCTGCAGAGCGGACGGCAGCGCGGAGGCTTCGCACGGACGGGATTTTTACTGTTCTGTGTCGTGCATGCTGGATCAGGTAACGCTGCTTGAAGGTCAGCTGTGAGATGCACAGTCCAGAGTGCAAAATTCATTATATCCACTCGTACTGCGGACAGTTTCTTTAGCTTGATGTAAGGCTGTCACTTGAGTCCCTCGGCTCGAGGTG